TGGACCCATTCTCCTCAAACTCGGTCGTGAAACAAAATGGCGCTGTTTTGGAGCTATTTTCGAGATTTCGCCGGGGCACAGAAAATCGAGGATTTAACGGAATTTTTTCGCAGAACTATTTCAAATAACAAGTAGATTCGTTTTAGCGAAAAAAAATTTGGGGGGTTAGGTACACTTTAACGATCAGTGGTGTCGATCATGCTGTCGCAGTCTTGTCAGTTTTTTGACACATGTAGTCAATATCCCACTTGAGTGGGCTCGCTGTAATCACTTGCTTTATACACGAAACACACTAAACTCGATTTGCCCTTATGTGTTAGTCCTGCTGGCTGCTATGGTTTGACTTTAAAGCATGTCTTCTAAGCTAACTATGTCTAACTAACCCTTCATCGCACTATTCCTGAATTCTGTTTCAACTTTGAAAGGAAAGGTTACGGGCTCCGCCAAACGCACACTGAATATCAGGTACATGTTGTTTGCTGTGTTGTATTACAAACACGTTCAACGTTTAAAACGGGTCTGCATTTTTTGTTAATTTGATGCTTTAAGTCGAATTGTTTCGTTCATGCTCAGATTTTTTTCTGCTCATAAGAATGGATGGTGAGTATGGAAACGAGCAAAAGATATAGTATGTGGTTACATAGGTTTACATGTCGAAAAATCTGCCCGTATACACCATAAATGATTATGAAAATAATTTTTCCGGTGAACTCTTTAACTCGATTAAGATCTTTGTTATTTTCTCTTCTTTATCAATCAGCCTAAGCACAGTTGTCTTGATGGTATTTCATTTCTAACGGGTAATTTTTTCTTTCTTTTTGCTTCCCTTGAACCTTTTCCAGCTCTTGTCCCTGTGCTATTACAACAAGCGTTTTTTTTATCTGCAACGAATTCTCATTTGACTAGCGAGAATGTCGCTCACTTGGTAACCTTTTTCCTCTCTCAACATGCTTTCCCCGTTTTATTCGGTTGAAGTTATCTTGACTGACGACAATGTCCTAGACTTGGTAACGAGTCCCTCCCAAAAGTGCATTTACCCAATGGTAATCTATTTTCTTTAGGTAGTAACGTAACAAACACAGCTGTCCGCGATGTCCAAATGAACCAATGTGTTCATTTTTTACTTTGACAAGTGTTTCTGCCTTGTTATCTAAACTGTGAAATGACCCACGATTGATTCACTTATTGACAGCTGACAGCTGAGCCAATAATGTGCAACTGACAGTTCCTCTCAGAGTTTAAATAATGTTGATTCACTATAGCCTAATTGTAGATCTTAAGGTCCAATTCTATTCTTTTGAGAGTGAGAAATGTTCTTAACCTAAGCACGTTGCATTGCTTCTGACAATAGACTTAGTCTCTGAGAATTTCTCTATCACATGAAAACCGTTTCCAAGTAGCTGTTTGTTTGAAGTCAATCAAAATTGACAAAAACAACCATCTTCACAGTCCCTGTGCTTGAAACCGTCAATGCAACAAGTCACGTGATATTCTAAACAGGTGTACAGGAAATTCAATTGTGCACTTCTGTTTCAATTGATTCCACCGGCTACAAGATTACGAAAGAGGAATAGATTTGAAGAAAATTGTCCTTTTTGGTAGTTAGGACTAACATTTTAACAAAGATTAACAAGGGCAATCAATTACAGCAAAATTTACGTTGAAATTCTTCGTCGAAAATAAGATAAAAACTGCAATTTATTCGTTTCAGCAAATTTATACGTTTCCTTTGTTTAAAATGTCACCCTGGATGAAATTTTTATGACATCATTGTCAAGCAAGTTTATCCTAGTGCACCAAATAACATTGTTTATTGTAAATATGCGAGTAACACGTGACATTTGAATATCAAAGTATCAGCTAGACGAAACTGAATGTATAAATTGATGAGGTGATTCAGAGCCGAAAAATTGTGTTACAAATTTTCGGGAGCCAAGCTTTCCAGGAAATCAAGTTAATCTGGTTTGTATCACTCCACGACTGGTAAACGAACAGGTAAACATACACGATGACTTACACGAAGAGTTCGGCGAGCTTAATCCAAAGCTCTATTTCTGTTGTCACAAAACTGAAGTGCGTGGTATTTAAGAATTAGAGAGAAATGTAAAACGAAACAATCCATAGGTAAAAGCGAGGAGGGAGGTTATGTTCTCAAATAATTAGATCATTTTATAAATTCAATATCATTCAGCGGCTTCCTTGATGAGAGAAATTATACACGCGCAGAACTGAGAAGAATCGATTTAACTGCGTTTTAGTCTGTCATAAACATTTTTACCCAATATTAGAGCACACGATATCTCATTTTATTGTTATTTACAATATAAACAAAAAGTGAATATGAAGGAGTCTGAAGTGAAATTCTATATCCCTTAGGAATAGAAAACTGTAGCCATATTCTTGATCCACGGTCACATGATTTTTTATAATTGTTGTTATGCACAAAGGGTTATTATCCTGGCATTTGCATGCACGCCATGTAAACTTGTGAAGAGTGATCTCCATATCGGCTATAGATCTCTGGAGGGAAACAGCTCACAAATAACATTATTAAATATGCCAAGCTATTAACTAGCGAGCAAGTGGGTGTAGTGTGTTGTCGAATAGGTTTATTCTGCTTGTTCATACACACCGCGTGGATGTGTGTGTTTTCTACATTTACATAATGTGCTATCCTACTTAAATATGCGTACACAAAATATAATATACAATAGGTGCTAATTCTCACGTGCCAATATGTTACAGTGGGTGTAGAAAGTGTTAACTCTAACATAATGATATATTATCAGTTTTCCTTAAAATGTATCCTTTCCCTTCCTGTTGAGAAAGTATGTCGAGTTTCCGTTCAAGGAAAAGGCTTGTTACTAGCAGTACTTTAAAGATTCGCTTGCCACCATCAAAACATTTCTGGTTACAAGCGTTACCGTGAAAGTCTTCGGCTCAGCTGAGGTATTATTCGTGGACTTGGCCTAACGGATTTTGCAGTTGACGTTTGCCAGTACAACGATTAGGCAGCTGCACTTTTTTATAGAAACATGTTGCTACGGCTGCGCACGCTTAATAATACCAGAGCACCATAAAAGCAACAAATTACCAAGTGAAAAAACGTACACCAATCATTTCGAGTAATTCTTCTTTTCAATGTTCTTCTCTTCGAGTAAAGCGGATTTAAATGCAAAATTTGGTAAATGGAAAATTCCCTTCGATTTTCAGGTGTTAAAAACAAAACGTCATCAAGCGGTTTCTATTTGTTTTAAAATATAGCCCACGGTATAAATTAGCATATTTCAAAGACGTCCGCATTATCTGGAGTAAAGTTCGTAATTGTAAGGATCGTGATGTGGTGTTACAAGATGACAAAACTTGTAATTTCCTGAGACGTACAAAGGAATGATTTTTCACAACACTTCTTAACCCATTTGGCGTCATTATTTATTTCTGATCATTTATGCAATTAGCACATTCCGAGCACCGGACAAAGAAAAATTTTGAGTCCCCGACGAGACTAGAAGCCACGAGTCCATGACCTCCTAGATACCGGGTGGGCGATCTAACCACTAAGGTACAGAAATACGCATGGAGAAGAAGTACTAGGTTCACATGTGGACCATATGAAGTGGAAACTGTTCCTCATATTGAAATATAAAATCAAACAAATAGCAATCATTGTTATGACCAACCAAAAACATGGCGTAAACACAAAACAAAACATTTCTTGACTCGTCTGAATCGTCCTTAATTAAAAGATAGATTTTGTTTACAGCTTTCTTCCGCTGGTATTCGACACAAAGTCAAGTGAGCTATTTAATTAGTTCGTTTAGAGCAAATATTTGTTGGTTACCTCAAAAAGGGGACTGAACTCAAGAGCTCCAGTCCTCTAGTGCCATAATGTATTCCTTTACCTTGGTCATTATTTACCGAAAGACGATACTGGTGCTAGGTCTCACTGATCTGTCACTGGGTAACTTGCGCGGATTCATAACAAATGCGAACCAGCGAGCGAACGTATCGAGAACAGAGCACTTTTAAAGGTAAGCAGTGTTCAAAATGGCCGTATACAGTCAGGCTCATTCTAACTTCGCTCACTCTTCGAAACAAAAACTTCGAAGAATTGTAATAACTGGTTTTGTCAACGTTATTTCCTCTATAAAGAGTGGCCGGAACACTTAAACAACTACAGAGTTTGTAAATTATGATTTACGCTATACCAGTTTTCGGATATGATGGATCATGATACTGTAAAATGGACTAAAATGAGAGCTTTCGTTATGCAATTTTCTTTCATCGGAAAACTAAGTTGATTTGTTGACATAAACGGTGAAGAAGGAGATCAAAACAAGCTGTTTACCAGTCGCTTTCTTATTATTCTCCAAAACGTCCATGAACTAGCTAGTTTCGGATTCTTTCTGACGAAAACCGAGCGCTAAATTCTGAATATAATTGTTTACAGTCTATCCATGTTTCAGTGAAATATAGTTAACATCGATTTCTTGCTGTAGGGGAAAAATTCTTCACATTTACATTTCTTGAAGACATAATCATATCCAGTTTCACCTGCTCAGCACTGACAATGGCGTCAAGGCTTAAGTAATTTAATAATCTCAATTTTCTCAGTTTTCAATCTAGCTCTAGTAGTGGCTGAGAATCGATTTTTCTTTGCAAAAAGAACCATTCAAGAAACACGTTTAAAGTACTGATATTGCAATCTGTTAGTCAGTGCCTAGGGAGGGCTCGACCGAATTTGGGACATTTTTGTTCGTTTCTTTGTATAATTTTAATTAGTTGAATTGAAAACAAAGAGAGCAAGCTTTTCACATTACGAAGCACTTGTATTTGATAGTTTTCCTTGCCCTGGCCCAGTTCCAGCCCAACATATTTTGAAGTCTGTCAGTTTGTTATAAAGGAACACAACCCCTCCGGAACAAAATGTGATTTTAACAAAGCCAAAAAAAAATTATTTACCAGTACGGACTGAATTATTGTTAGTCACAATTAACGTTTCATTTGGTAAAAGACACTGCCTAGTTGTTCCCCATGACACGCAAATGGCAACTGCACTTCTGAACATACAGGCGGACAAGGTAATCGAGAAGACAGTTGCTACACTTGGTTATTTTGCTCTCGTACTTAATCACGTTGGAAGATGGCTTTGTCAATACTTTCTTCAAGTGACATCAGCCTCAAAATTCATGCTAAAAGTTAATACCGTCATTACAGACGTACGTAGCTAAAACTAGAGGGTTTTACATGTATTTGAGAGAGCTGTTAGACCCTGCCACTAAGTGTAGGAAAAAAGAACCAGATTTAGCCAGGACCGAGTAAAATAATGTTAAAACTGACCAATTCATTAGTTAAAAAAACCTTCAAAACATATTGTTTTGTTTGAATTAACACATTTGATGATGGTGCTGTCTTCGTCAGTTGAACACCTCTATTTTGAGCTTGAGACTGATTATTTCACTTGTGACGTAATGCTCTTCTTCTCGCCACCGCGTGATGCGTCATCTGATTTATAGCAAGTAGATATATATTGACTAAAGCATTAACCAAATGTTAAATGTCCGATAGGTCGTTTAAGACCTATTTTTATATTTTTTATAAGACCTATTATTGTTTTTTTTTTACCACTATATATTTGGTAATTTTTCTAATTTATAGCAAGTACATACATATTGAGCAAACCATTAACCAAGTGTTTAGTGCCCGATAGGTCGTTTAAGACCTATTTTTATATTTTTATGAAACCTATTATTCTATGTTTTTTTTTACCACTATATATGTGGTAATTTCTCTGATTTATAGCAAGTACATACATATTGACCAAACCATTAACCGAGGGTTAAATGCAGGATGGGTCTTAAAGGNGGGGGTTGTCTATCTTTATTAGCTGGTATCTGTTATTGTTTAATGCATCGAATTACTTTCAGGCAAAAGCTTCCTTCCCGTAGAATATCCAAGGAATGATCCAAGATGACCTGATTTGGAAATAAGTTTATGTCCAGCAAGCCCAAAGCGACTTCATGTCCGCTTTCTGTAAACATCTTAGTAAATAAAACTACAGAGAGAATGTGATGCTTCTACACTTGCAAGATTAATTATTGCGTCATACACTTTTCTGAACAACAAACATAGCGTGCTATGGGGTCAATATGTCAAATATTTACGCCAACAAACAACTCTGTTGTTTTTAAACGCTGTTGTTTTAACACTGAACATCAAACTAGGAGTTGGAAGAGTTATCAACAGTTTTGTTTGGAAACGACTACTTGCTAATTTAAAACTACCAGGGGGCAAAGATATTGTCACTTGTTAAAATCATTTTCATGCTCAGGAATTATTTTCTAATGTTCAGTGCCACCTTGGTTTTTTTTTTCTCCGACGATAGAATAGCTTTAAAAGAAAGTGAAAGATTACTCGTTTTCTCTGAGTGGTATTCGCCGGGAAAATCGTAGTTACGTTAAGTAGTTCGTAACATTCGCGTTGCACACCGCGATTTTGAATGTATTATAGTCTAAAGCTGCAAACAGGCCGGCATTCTGTTAGCGTAGAAAAAGTTTCCTGCTCGTAGGATGAAATAGGAAAACTCGAGACACATTCAATGGAATTTTTCTTCTAGAAGAACGCGTTGGATGAGTAATCTAAAACTGAAATGTTCGGAAATATTACTTGCTGTCTGATGTAACAACAGCACGTAGTAATTTCATGGATGTTAAAAATGAGCTTTTTCAGAGCCCGCTTTCATATGGTAAAGGTGAAAAGTTTGTCTTTAATAGCTTATTAAAAAATACATTAAGTTAAAACTACTTCCCCTTTGTACATCACGTTTTTGTTTCTGGCTGAATAATAAAACGAATCGATCACTTTTTATTGAATTTTTTTAAAGTAAGCTTTCAAATTGCTGATTGGGATGTCTTGGAGCACGTCCCACAAGAACATTAACTTCTATCTGTCTACTTAATTTGCTTTCATAGAATCTGATTGGTTTTCAATTTATATTTCACAGCAAATATATCGCGCGCAGCTGCTACAGTTGGTGTATTTTACAAGGAGAAAATAGAATAGCAGATTGTCAGAGAATAGGGAACTGCGATTCACAGTCGACCGGATTCAACTGGATTCTACGTATACAGGTCAGTGAAAAAGACGTCAAATATAAAAAAGTAAAGCTTAATACAGGCAGTTAATATTCAGAAAATCCTTATACATCTTCCCATGGATCCCTTGTCTTAATGAAACACTTTCATCTCAAATTGTTATGAATGAATGTTACTCCAGTTCGCCGACCTACTGGCATCTGTAGTCAAATATGATGTTTCGACTTCCTCGTATAATACCTAGAAAGGTGTTAATCACGAGTTCGGTCGACTAAAACGTGACATTACATGCGTTGCTGTCGACTGCGGCAATAAATTCGTTTGAAAGTGACGTTTTTAAATTATTTTGCCCAGAGTTCATTACAAGACACTTAAAGCATCAAAAGAAAATGGCATGTCTGTCTCAGTTATCTTGATCTCGGCTTTAATAAAGGAAAACGCCAAGAATTATTATCAAGACCTGTCCGCAGTATGGTTGATGACTTGTAGGCGCCTCTTATGGCAGCTTAAGTTTCATTTGTGTCAAAACACGTGTTCTTGTTCAAACAAGGGTTTCAAGATTACATTTAAAGAATTTTCAATTTATTTCTGGAATTTCGGGTATGGGATATAATATTGAATTGTGGGTGTGAAACGATAGCAAATACTTTACACTACAGTTTTATCCTTGTAACAAAATTAAACAAAATTTAAATTCACGGGTAAGAACACCCGTTGAACACTCCTTTCAGTTTTTCTAGAAGTCAAAGCGATCTATGTTTGCTGTTTATATTTCATGTTAGGAAAATGTTAATATTTTTATCTCAAACCATATAAATAAGCATTAGAAAATAGGAAATACTGTAGATTTATCATAATTTCGTAAGATATACATACCGTGAAAACAAAAATAGAAATGCAAGTTGAACAAAATGTTAGATGGTGGTTGATAGTTTGTGTTACCAACCTTAATTAAGGTAACTAATAACAATAGTATGCAGAAGCTTATGACCTTCACTAATGGACATTTGAATTCGGAATAACGCCAAAACTTGAAATGAATTTTAATGGCACAGTTCTTTAATTTAAATTTTGTATTATTATGGTACTCTATATTTATTACGATTGTCAGAGAGAAGTTTTACATGTAATTTTTTTTCTTGTGAGAGAAATCCGGCAACGAAGAAAAATAACAAACATTTCGGTCAGATTTTATCAGCTGGAACCGACAAACAATTAAAAAGCTAAATGTAATATAGAAGTAACTCCCTTTCCGTATTAAAATAAGTTGAGTATTTTAATACATTATTGTAAGTTGGAAATTGAACACCGGAACTAAAGCACAGTGGATTCATATAAATCAGTTGGCCAGCCAATGCTTTGACGTTATTTTTTCTTTTTGAGGCTTTGTTTTGAAAACCGTACACAATAGGCCTGAGGTTAAAAGTAAATTCTAAAATTCTGCCATTGTATTCTGATTTTGGCATCGCCGCTTGTATATTAAGAAAACAAATATCTATCATTTAACTTTAACACAAAATAGTACATTTCCTTCGCGAATGAAATTCGTTTTTTGATTTATTTTCATGTTAGGTATTTATATGTTAAAAGCATTTTAAGCACATGTACTTAAAGTAAAATTAAACATTATTGCATGACAATTACTGCACAAATAATATCCATTAGAAGCAGGGCTCTTGCAGTCAGATATTCATAGAAAATCATGAATTAAGGATGAAGGTGATATATTTCTGACTTATCGCAAAATCTCTCAGTAACTCAGAGATCCAGAAATTGAAAGCGAATTACCTCGGCTTTTCACTAGTCTAAAACAATATTCGCCTTTTACTCTGTTGAATTTGTTCAGCATGAAAATAGGCCGGTCTGTTAACGTTTGACGGAAGCGCAGTTGGATGTAACAAGAATGTGGTGCTTCAATATCAGTAAGAGCAACTGTTTTGCTGGAATCGTGCTGTGATATTTAAAAATACGTATATGTACCACTCAAACTGAGCTGTATTTTCTAATAAGTAAACTTGCTTTCCAATGTATCAGACAAACATTTATGGCCTATGATAACACCTCCATCCTTCTCTCTCAACGCTCGAGATCAAGGAAAACTGGCATGCACATGCTCTAAGTAGACCAATCAGATTTGATAGTAAGTATGTTGTATCTTCCTCTTTACAAAGGCGGGCTGACTTTCCTGCCCTGGGGCCCGTTTCTCGAAAGCTCCGGAAACTTTTCGGGTCAGCGAAGCCATTTTTAATTAGTCTATATCTCAAAACAGAGAGGGGTATACACCTGAAACTTTTTGTATGAAGAGAACCTCTCTTCATATTGAGAATACGTGAATAAAACAGCTCTGTAATCATAGGGTTTGAGATTTTGCTACGGTTTTCCGGGTGCTAAAACATTTCGGGACCTTCGAGAAACAGGCCCCTGCTCACAAAACTCAGCATTGAAAAAGGACCATAAAGAAGAGTTAAGTAGAGCGATTGCAGATCAATTGGACTTGAAACCTGGTTGACCTCAAGCTGATTGATGATAAACTGAGTGCTTAGATTTCAGTCATTTAACTTGTATTTAACCACAAGGACCACACAAGTGTTTGAGATCAAGAACCGAGCTTTATCCTGGTTTAACTTGTCAGTCTCAGATGGAAGCAAGAGTATTTCTCAAGTTACATGTTATGCATTTCTATTAAACTGGAAAAGTTGATATTTGCTTATAGGATAAGTGGCATATCAGAATATTTACAATCAGTCGCTATGATGGCTATGTCCAATGTTCATTGCTGGGCTGGCGGAGTTTACTCAGCACAACTGCTGTTTGCGTGTATTTATTTTACCTAGAAATCATTGTTTTGCTACTTATACTAGTTACTTTTTTATGCAAGTTATTTTTGCGCTGCCATTTACTTGACCAAGGCGGTATCCAACCAGAAGCTTCTGCTACCTTGGTCACTGCTCACATATAAATTTTATTTCTTTACAGGGTCATATTTCTCAATTTTATCACTATTTTCATTACTTTACCTTATAAAATTTATCTAAAGCCCTGTATAGTGTAAATAAAGAATTGAACTGAATTGAATTACTGTTAAACTACATCCAGTCTGCGCTATAAAAGTTCTTATTCATAAATGTCAACGTCGGTAGCTGTTCAAGAGATTAGTGGAACCGAACTTTATTTATGTACCCCAGTAACTTATTTCAAAACACTTTTCTTTGTTTTTTAGGGAAAATGAACAACTCCACACCAGTCAATCAAACATTGCCATCGCCTGAGACGATAACACCGTTTTCTATAATGGCTTGGAGCGTAGCCTTTGGCACGTTAGCAGCCATGGCCATATTTGGAAACTCAACCGTCATTCTGGCGTTCAGTCGAAATATTAAATTGCACACGCGCACTAACTACATTATAGTAGGACTAGCAACCGCTGACCTGCTGGTAGGATTCATTGCAGTTCCACTCTATATCAGCATGATACTTCTGTACAAACGTCATCTTGCAATACCTCTGGTTTTGAGTGTGATTTACCACGCAATGGATGTGTTTGGAGGTTTCGCTTCCATATTTCATTTGATGCTAATAAGCTTGGAACGTTTCTATGCTATTGCGTTTCCGGTGAGTCATCGGAATTCATCCAAAGTTGTCTATTTTGGTGTTTTAGTGATTTGCTGGGCGACTGCAGGATCTCTATCCTTCATCCACTCAATCAGATACAGTAACTACAATATCACAAGAGCTTTCTTCATTCTCTTTTGCGTTTGCTTCACGGTAGCCTTTATTGTCATCTGTTCCATGTATCTCGGAATATGGCGAAAAGCAAAAGCAAAGAAGTTGATGAGGAAGGGTTCAAGGAAGACACTTCAGAAAAGAGATCATGAAGTCATGATTGCCATGTCCCTTCTTATCGTCATTATCATTTTTGCCGTGACCTGGCTGCCATTCTTTTCTATAAACGCAGTTTACTTTTTTCAATCGGAACTAAAACGAAGAGCAATATCGTTTGAAGTCATTCAGTTCACCAAGCTCTTACACTACTCCAACTCCGCCATTAATCCAATTATTTACTCGCTAAAAATTCCCGGATTTAAAAAAACCTTTACAAGCCTGCTAAAGCGGGAGTCAACGAGATCACTAAGAACTTCGTTTAGTATGTTACGACGAGACTCTTCAAAGAAGCCTGTGGCTCAAGCTGATAGGCAAGACCACTGTTGATTGTAGGTGCTGAGAGTAGGACGTAGAGAGAGAGAGAGAGAGAGAGAGAGAGAGAGAGAGAGAGAGAGAGATAGATAGATAGAGAGAAATCTAAAGGCTGTATATCGCGTTAAGAATATAAAAAGTAATTATTCAAATCATCATACTGAGGCTGTGAATGTTGTAGCATCGAGCGTGGCCTAAAAACACAAGTTCTGAAAAATCGATCACAGGAAATAAAACTTCTCGTCTTAATTAATGTTAGGTCAGCGCTCTATAATTCTACGTCGCACGTTTTACACTTGTTTCAGTTGTTATATCCCATCTACGATATAGATCGTTTTCACGTGACGTCATCACTTTCTAAAATCCAAACTAAAGAGCCACCGAAGTTTTTATCCTCACCAGGCATAAGAGGCGGTATATTTATATCTGTTTACAATTTTACAGCTCAATAGCGTGCTTCGTTTGGAATCCAGAGCATTTTGAATTTTAGGGTTGTGGGGGTGCGTGACACAAGGTTTCAATCGAGTTTGTCGAAAAATGTGTACTTATCTCATGACTTTGAGCCTTTCTAGAAGTTAGAGCATTAGGAAAAGTGCTAATGTAAATGCTTGTTTGATCAGTACTGATAATCAGTCGCCTAGATAGCCAAAGTAAGTTCCAGTTTACACTATTTCCCGGCCGCCACATTGGTGTACCACAGAGGTACACCAACATGGCGTTTTTATACTGGGCTCTGTAAATATCTGCGAAACATTTCGACGAATATCTGAAGTTTGAGAAAACGCACAGGCCTAAAACTTGGAGAAGTGTCTTATTTAGTTATCTTCTGCAACATCATAATTTCATAGCATTTTCCACTGGATGGTTTTCGATTTTTTTTTTATTGCGTGACAGTGAAAACGACCTATTGTTATGGACGCGTTTTTTTGCTCGGAATAATCAATACGCAAAAACGGGTTGGACTTAGGAGACTTAGTGAAAGTCCCGTACATAAATTGTCTAGCATCTGAACATACAAAAAATTTTGGATTTTGTGCACTCTCTGGTTGACTAAAAAACTCCAACGTGGTTATTCGCTTCAGCTGAAAAAATTCGCGTCAAAATCTTAACTTAGCTATAGAATTCTTTAAACTTTGGCTGGGATCGGAAAATAAGTTATTTGTGCCAGAAATGCATATATTGAAAAAGGCGGTTACCGACTTCGTTCCTGAGGTAAAGCGTGTGGAAAAACACCCTGGTTTCGAAACAGTGGCGCATGTTACTCAGAATGTTCTCCAGGATTTAATAACAAATATCGAAGATATTTCAACGGAGGCAAACTGTCGTTGTCTGTTACGTGATAAATTCAAAATGTTTCATTTCTTTGGAGTTCTTTGAAGCCATCGCACCATGGGTATTTCATTTCAACAAAAGTGGTTCCTCCCAAAAGCCTGTTAGGCCCACAAGCAGTTTACAAGGGTCCGGACAAATTTTTGCACGGACGAATTTTGTTCGTGGACCGCCTGTTTACATGGATCCGTGCAAATTCTGTTACAGATTGTAGTGGTGTATACACGGATCCGTGCAAATTTTAGACCAGTCGCGGCACCTGAATGGCTTTTTTACGTCTCTGTTGTGATTGGTTATCGCTAATGTTTTAAGTCAATCATGTTGCAGCCGATGCAGAACGCGGCAAATCAAACAGGGCGATAGACAAAAACTTCACGTGGTCCGATGCTACATGTAGTTATTGACTACAAAACAGGAAAAGCCGGGGAAGGAGTTGATTGGGAAACGGTCCGGAGCAAGTACGAAGACGTAACCAGCTAATCCGGCTAAAATAGCGATGCATGCTGCCACCGCTCGTCTCCTCATATCTGTAATCTGCTTTTGTTTGTTTCTTTTGTCTTAAATTTAACAAAATGGGACAAACTAGGGACAAAATGTAACAAACTGTTTCTTTTTTGCTAAGCAACCAGGCAAAACATAACTAGATTCGAGGCCTTAGCTTAACTGCGCTATCCGAGTAAAAAGTTGCTCGGTTCGGGTGTTTGCACGATTCCGTACGAAATATGGAACTGTGTCGGTCAAAAAATTGACCTTCTTTTTTCAGGTCCCAAACTTGCAGAGAGAGACAGCGCGGGGGCCGATCGATTGTGTCGTGTGAATGCAGTGCGAACTCATTCATTCTGGAACGAAACTCATTCCCGAATGAAGATCATTCCAGAATCATGTGACTAGCCCTTTAACAAAGTAAAAAAACCGTGTTCTTTTCAAAAGAAATAAAGCTTCTACACTGACTGTCAACAAAAACAAGCCTAAAAAAACATTTATAATGCTGCATGCTAACTTTACTTTGTTTTACTACTTTTCAGTCACTTTTACGCTGTCTACAAGACAGCACGGACAAAATAAAAAAAAAAAATCATAAATGACATTATTACCTTATCTGAGTGCCTCCCTGGGGAATAGGTGTTCCCTTTAAATTACTTAGTAAAAAGAGAAGGCAAAAAGTGCTCAGTAGCAGCTGGCATGTCTTTTAAAGTTTCTAGAGATGCCACTTGGAGAAAATTTAGTGCAGCGCAATAGGGAGAATAGCGTGTTTCTGTCGAGGGTCTATGGGTTGATAGTGGACTCCGTGAAACATCAGCGCACAGACCCTAGAAACACTCTTAATATATAGATTTAGGGCAGCCTAAAAGCGTAGCTCCTGGGCCGGGTTGTTCAAAACCCGATTAAGCTAACCCAGAAAAAGGTAGAATTTTGATTTGAGTTTTGTAACTTTGCGGTGAGGTTTCTGTATATTGTTTGGCCTTCTGTTTTGAGTTTTAATAATCACCATATACACAAAAAAAAACAGCAAAACACATTTGTATAGAAGAAAAAGTTATAATTCGATTAACTTTTAATCCTGGGTTAGCGTAAACTGGCTTCCGAGCAATCCTGCCCTGT